TTAGTGATACCTTTTTCATCACTGTAAGCAAAAGGTGACTATTAATTAAACCATATGTTTGCTTGCTGTTCGGTTTTTTGTTTTGTTTGTTTTTTTTTAATCTCTCATAAGAGGAAATAATAACTGAAACATTTAACTTGGACCAGCCCCAAGAATTTCCCTATCACAAAGGAGTCCCTTTCTAGTCCATTTTGAAAGTCTGGCAATTACATGGTTAATGCCATCTGCTGCCACAAAGTCCACAGTGCCTGTGATGTTCAAGAGTCCAGGCATTGGCTGGCTTGTTCTAAAAGTACTCTTCCTTGATGACTCACTCCCATTGGACTCCCAAGGAGGAGGAGGAGTTTTTCCAACTCTAATCTCCTTGTGGGTGACTTAATCATATGATGTTTGTAGTGGACGGAGAAGACACTCACCCAAGATTTTTGCTAATGTTCTTTTACAGGGCAAATAAACTTTGAGGTAAGATTATAAAAATGCAGTATATTAATGACCGAAAGGGAGAAATGGTGCCATCGATTCAGGTACAATCTGGGAGTTACTATATAAATTGACTGAAGACTTCTTAAAAGGTGCTGCCAGACAGGGAAACAATTAAATGTACAACTAAGAGATGGTTGTTAGTTAACTCAACAACAAGAGTCTCCTTTGTCTTAGTCTCTCGTGTGTGTCTATATCTTTAGACAGATGTATCCCTTGCTTTTCAAGGGAAGAAAGCTAAAATTAAGGAAACTTTGAGGAGCAAGATGGTCTAGGGAACTTCTAGGTTATGAGACAGTCTGAAGACAGTTCTCACAAGATGAAAGGTAAAAGAATGACGATTTAAGTCAAATGCAGGGCAATCAAGATTAATTGTATTTATTTCTAGATCTCTGAAGAATCATCTTTGAAAGAGATCTTCACACTTTGAGCACAGTACTAATAGTAAGAAATATTTAGAGGACAATCATTGATGATTATAACTTAATTTCTAAGGACTAGGAACTCTTTCCCATATAATCTTGTTTTATTCACATATAAACCTATGATATTAGCATGATATGATAATTAGTACAATTCTCTTATCCCCTTTTCAGAAAATAGAAAAACCACAAAAAATATGATATATGATAGTATATGTATATAGTGTGAGAAGAGAATCTATTTTGGACAAAATTCCATGATCATAGTGCTATCATGGCAGATTATCAGATCTTAATCACTTTTACCTGAATTGTAATGCAGTTGTAGAAAAAAACATTTATTTTGGATACCAACATGATTTTCCATTTTGTCTGCTCTATGAACACAGTTTATTGCTGATTATACATCTGCTTAGCAATTATACATCTGCTTAGCTGAAATACAGCTGATTAGAAGAAAACAGTTCCTATAACAGAATTCTGAGTACATTCTTAAAATTTTGGGAGAAAATAGGTCATTCTTAATCCCTTATTCAGTCATGATTCATTGTCCCTAACATACTATACACTCTATACAAACAAATTAGCATTGGAAAATAAATACAATTTGAGATAATATTCATTGAATTTTAATGAAACCTAAATAATATTACCATTGGGGTGTGTGCATGTGTGTGTGTGCAGTTTAAATTCCAATGTATAGAAACTGAGTTATTAGAGTTTTTTTTGACATTCCTTTCAGTTTTGTTTGTTTGATTTTTGAGGCTGAAGTCAGCTCAGAAACAGGTTTCCTGCTTTCATGACCGCAGTCTTCATAAATTCCTTCATTTGACAGATAGTTCTTAACAATTAAAACTAAGAAAAATAGTATTACACATCCACATGTACTACATACATAAAATTCCTAAAGTATTCCTCTTCTAGGGATTAAAATGAACATGAACTATATGGACGCAATTTATCCCACAAATGTGAGAGTTTGATGTCTGCCTTCAGCAGCTCCCTTTTCTTGGTAGCTGATGCAATGAAATCTAGAATTGTCCTGCACTAAAGGTAGCCATCATGCTTTGTCTCTGTACCTGAAGTATATGCGTAAAACAAATGACCTGTTCACTTCCTGAAGAAATCTCATAGATTTTCTCTGAGTTCACAGAAACAGTGCAGGATAAATGCAGTCTTGGAAATTCATAAATAAAAAGAATTCAAACAGTTGATTCAGATGTGCTTGTACACACATTCTTAGCCAATATCTTCAATCTTTTTATCATAAGTCATATTTTTGTCAATAACTGACTAGAAAATTGTACATGCAGAAGCGACAAAACATCATGCCGAAATTTCTACAGAAGCAGAGGATAATCATACAGATTGTCTTATGAACAATTTGATACCTTTCCTAATAAACTCTCAGAAACAAAATAATGTGTGTTTAGTACAGTCACAATATTCAATTTGGATTTTAATGATCTGTGATAAAATCCTTTACAACATAAGGAACTGGAACAAAGAAATAATTTTAAGGTCCAAGTAACTGTAGCTGGCTGGTACCATCACAGAGCTTAATCAGGAGCACGGAAATGTCTTTCTTCATCTAAAGATGTACCAATCCTCGAATTCATAACCTCTGATTCTCTTTCCTTTGTGAACTCCCAACAGTATGACACTCAGTCCTTTGAGGGACCAGTACTATGCTTAATTGAGTATAGGTGTTCCCAAATTGTAATAGGTTACGGCACTACCTGCAGATATTGTTAAAATATTGAATGCCAAGATTGAACTCAAGAAATCTGTATGCAATAGGTATTGGATGGGAACTACTAATTTACATTTCTTACTAGGGTTCACATTTTATTAATGAAGTGTCAGGCATCAAGAACAAAAAATCATATCATTGTAAATGAGGGGGAGTGCAGAGTGGAGATCCAAAGCCCATCTGTAGGCAACTGGACATCCCCTAATGGAAGGGTTGTGGGGAGGAGACGAGCCAATCTGGGTGCAGGGTAGCAACGATGAAACATACAACTTTCCTCTACTTCTTAAATGTTTCCTCCCCTACCCCCGCTATCATGATACCAATTCTACCTTACAAATCTGGCTATACCAGATGATGTACACTGGTACAGATAGGAACTGGAAACACAGGGAATTCAGGACAGATGATCCCTTCAGGACCAGTGCTAAGAGTGGCAATACTAGGAGGCTGGAGAGAAGGTGGGGTAGAAAGGAGGAACCGGATGTAGTTCTTTTATGAGAGCAAAATTCCAGGTCTCTCCTCCTGAAAAGCAGGTCATGTGTTGAACTGCAAACATTTTATCTAGCAACCAAGTGTTTAACTGTTATGTGGCAGGGCTTCTTATCTGTAGTCCATCATACAGGGAATATAAACATACAGTAGTAATTATAAAAGTACTTTACTTTGATATAAGGACATCTGTTAGTATACTAAGTCTAGTAAGATATATTTATATATCTTACTAGACTTAGTAAGTCTAGTAAGATATATTTATATAAAATCTAAAATATTGAGGATTTCTAGGGGTGTGGTGGATTAAGCATTGTTTGCTAACTAGAAGGTTAGCATTTTGAAAAACCTGGAGGCTCACATTAAAGAGGTGAGGCTTTTCACTAGCATAGAGGGAGAGTCTCAGAACCCCACCCCCACCCCCGGGGCACTTATGTTCTATCCTCTAGGTTTCCTATGAGTCAGTACTACTTGGATGACAATGAGTCAGTACTACTTGGATGACAATGAGTTTTCTAAAATAGTTGCTGTGGTTTGGAATTTTACTTGATGTCTGTCTGACAGCTGTGTTTGTGTGCTAATGGTGATGTGCTGCCATGTTCTGTGGGTGCATTTTGAAAATTTGAAATAGAAAATTTCTCTGAAAAAAACTTGTTTTAAATCATTTTATTGGGGGCTCATACAATACTTACCACAATCCATATATACATCCATTGTGTCAAGCGCATTTGTACGTTTGTTGCCGTCATCATTCTCAAAACATCTGCTTTCCACTTGAGCCCCTGGTATCAGCTCCTCATTCCTTCCTCTCCTCGTTCCCCACCCTCATGAACACTTGATAATTCATAAATTATTATTTTGTCATATCTTACACTGTCCAGCATCTCCCTTCACCCAATTTTCCGTTGTCTGACCTCCAGAGAGGAGGTTATATATAGAACCTTGTAATCGGTTCCCCCTTTCTACCCCAGACGCTATATCTTTTGATAGCCGGGCACCATCAGCTTTCTTCACCACACTTGCTTATGCCCCCATTTTTCCTCAGTAAACATATGGGGTAGGTGAGGACACAATGATTTTTCCTTCTTTGATGCCTGAAACCTGATCCCTTCGACACCTCATGATCACCCAGGCTGGTGTGCTTCTTCCGTGTGGGCTTTGTTGATTCTGAGCTAGATGACAGCTTGTTTATCTTCAAACCTTTAAGACTGTCCAATATAGACATACCAATCTGAAGGAGCCCTGGTGGTGTAGTGCCTATGCATTGGGCTGAGAGCTGCATGATCAGCTATTGAAGCCAACAACTCCAAAGGAGAAAGACTGGGCTTTCTACTCCTGTAAACACTTACAGGTCTGAAACCCCACAGGGGGCTACTATGAGTCAGCATTGACTCATTGGCAGTGAGGGTAGTATTGGAAAGCAGGAAACGTGGTGAGAAAAAAAGATTTAACAGAAAGTCAGAAGAATTGGATTCTGGTCCCAAATCTCACACACCATGTTGGAATCTAGAGTTCATTTATAATACGGACAATTAACCAAGATTCTTAGTTCTGTTCCAGCATTATACTTGAAACTCTATAAAATGGAATTACATTGTAAGACTCCAAAGTCAGGCTTACCAAGTATACAGAATGTATGCTAATAATTAGAAATCAAGTTTATTTAATGATCTCCTATCTATGGGGTAGAGAAAATACTTGGGGGTGGGGGGGTGGAAATCTTGGATTGCCGAAGAGCATTTCAGGGAGTTTTTACTAGACCTTGATTTATGCTACATGTTCTGATTTATCAACTCTGGATTTCAGGGCTTTGGGCTGTATTGCTGCTACCTGCCGTTCTTCCTCTCCCTGGCATCATGTCACACTCCAACAACACCTTCTACCTAACAGGCCTCCCAGGACTTGAGGCTGTGTTCACCTGGCTCTCCATCCCCCTGTGTGCCATGTACGTGGCATCCTTGGCAGGGAACAGTTTGATCCTGTGGGTAGTGAAGTCAGAACCCTCCTTGCATCAACCCATGTACTATTTTCTGTCTATGCTGGCAGTCACTGATCTGGGCCTGTCTGCCTCCACAATGCCCACCATGCTAACCATCTACATGTTGGGCTTCACTGAGGTGGCAGTGGATGCGTGCTTGGCACAGCTCTTCTTCATCCACACATTCTCCATCATGGAGTCCTCTGTTCTTCTGACTATGGCCTTTGACCGTTTTGTGGCCATTAGCAACCCTCTTCGCTATGGCACCATTCTTACAAACACTCGAATTGCCAGCTTAGGTTTGGCCATTGTGGTGCGCAGTATTGGTCTCCACATCCCAGCTCCCATCATGTTGAAGAAGTTGCCTTACTGCCAGAATCGCCACCTTTCCCACTCCTACTGCCTACACCCGGATGTCATGAAGCTGGGCTGTGTTGACACCCGTATCAATAGTGCATATGGTCTCTTTGTTGTGCTCTCCACACTGGGCACCGACTCAGTGCTCATTGTCCTCTCCTATGGGATGATCCTGCAAACAGTGCTCTCCATTGCCTCCAAGGCTGAACGCCTCAAAGCGCTCAACACGTGTGTCTCCCACATATGTGCTGTGCTGCTCTTCTATACACCTATGATTGGACTGTCCATGATTCACCGATTTGGAAAGCGGGCTTCCCCGTGTAGCCGCGTGTTGCTTTCCTATCTTCATTTTCTCACACCGCCAGTACTCAATCCACTTGTTTACACTATCAAGACCCAGCAGATTCGGCAAAGGATGATGCGTCTCTTAAGGTTGGATAGGGGCGGCATCAGAGACATCCAAGGACATTAAATCTGCTCTGGAGAAGAAAAAAAACCTGAAGATTTTGATCATCTATGCTGCACAGGATACAAGATGAGTCACATGTAGAGATATAGAAACCTCTTCTGAATGAAATTCAATTATGGGAAGAAGTAACCCACCTCCTTACTTATTAGTCTTTAACTAATGTGTGTGTGTGTGTGTGTGTGTGTATGTGTGTACAGTTAAAAACCTATTACCATCAACTCAATTCCAACTCATATTAACCCTATAGGATAGAGTAGAACTGCTTTTTTGAAACAGAGGCTATAAAGCTTTATGAAACAGGAAGCTTTATCTTTCATCCATGGAGAGGCTTGCAGGCTTGAACAACGGACTTTGCAGTGAGCAACTCAATTTATATCCCACTACATCACCAGGCATAGAACCTTCTAATGTGTCCAGAGTCAAAATGGTTGGTAGTGGTAGCCAGGTCCCATCCAATTATTCTGGATTAGTTTACATTTTGGAAAAAAACCTTTAAAAAAACCCAACTTTTTAATTGAAAATTAGGTGACTGTTTTCAAACTTGATAATTTTACATTCTGTAATTCATCCACATTTTGTTTCAACTCATCCATGGTAATCTCTTAAATGTACCATAACTTATCCCGCATAATTCATGTGTTTCCTGTTTCTGTCCCTTATTCTTTCCCAATCCTCTAAACTTTGTCCTTGGGGTAATATTTCCCTATGGTTTCAAATAGCTGATTATTTGGGAGTGGGTTCAGTGCCAGACGTGAGGGTAATTTAAAGCTATAGGTCTTGGAGGTCCCGTAAGTCTTTATCTGGCTAATAATCCTGGTCTTTTTTACAATTTTGAGTTCCATACCCCAGTTTTCTCCTATTCTATCCACAACCTCTTCGTGTGATCTCAGAGCAGCAGTTGGTAGTGGTAGCTGAGAGACCATCTTCTTTTTCTGATCTCAGGGTTTGGGAGCCTGATGTTGGCATGATACATTAGCCATTAGAGTACTTGTCTCCATATGTCTTTGGGTTTTACATTCGTATTTCCTTTGGATGCATAGAAACCAATTGTATCACCTTAGATGGCTTTTCATGAGCTTTTAAGACCCCAGTAACGTTTTACAGCCCCATACTCCTCTTAGTTGCTGTAAAACATTGTCTTCGTGTCCCTGGGACAACAATAGTCCTGATCCCCAGGGCCAGGACTCATTCCTTCAAGATGTTTGGTTATGTTTAAGACATTTTCATAATTTTCCCCCAAGTATACTGCACAACATTAATGGATATATTTGAAATAAAGATAAATACACATATATAAATATCCAGAGGAACACTTTTGGCAAGATATTTATAAAGGTAGAGATGTAAACCTAGGTATATGAAGACTATGCTTATGAGGACTTTTTAATCCGAAGATGTTTCCATGTTTGTCCATGAGTAGAATTCATAAAGACGGACTGGACATCTAGTTGTTAAGATCTCATGTATTTTGTCATACTTATTAACATTTGGGGCAAATCATGAGAATACAAAATCAAGAATAATTCTCTAAGTTGTCAAACTGCTTTATTTACTAATCTCACCCACCTTGAAAATAATGAACTGCTCAAAAGTAAATGAAAGATATTTGAAAATAAAATTTTTGAATTGTGTTACTGTAATCTTCATACCACTAGAAGTAACTATATATTTATATACACTTTATAAAACTTTACCTGAAAGCTTCCTTGTGTATAGTATATTACAATGGAAATGTAATATACATTTAATATATTAAATGGCGGATACTTTAATAGACTGAGAAAACAATATTATAAACGTCAACTCAAGTAAGAAAAAAATTAGCAAGTGGGATCTAATTAGTATCACATAATTTACTGATCTCTAAGGATGCTAATAGGCACTCTGCATATGTAATAATGAGAGGTGTTATTATGGAAAAATCTTAAAATAAATCTTAATAAAAAACCCAAAACATGAAGTATGCTTCTGAGTGACATATTCTAAGAAGATATTCATGTTATATGTTTAGTATTTTTTAAAAGTTTGAACATTTAAGATGCCTGCATGCACCCCTGCATGTACTAGATTGGTTCAGCACTTATTTAGCCATTGAATACCCCCAAATTCCCATGTGTTAAGCTTGGTTTTCTAGAGAAACAAATCCAGTGACACTCATCTAAGAAAGGGTTGTATATCAAAAAGTCATATATATCAAGAAGATATCCCAATCCAGTCCAACACAAGTTCTTAAGTTTTATGGTAGTCTGTAAATTTGAAGCTAATCCATATGTACTTCTTCAGACTCATTTAGTCACATGCTGGTGATGCAGAATGGTGAACTGGGGAGCAAGATCACTGGCCAATGGGTGCAGAATTTTGTAAATACCAAGTCTGTGGAAATATGACAGGAGGCCAACAGTGCTCAGGGTAATTGGTAGAGTCAATGCGAGCAGGAAGGCAATGAGACAGAGCCAGAGAGAGAGCATTTCTGTTTACCTTGTCCTTATTCAAAAGGCTTTTAACATCAAGGAGGTTTCATCAGGCTGCAACATGATTAACAAGTATAATTCCACACCTGACCAGGAATGTCTAGTTGACATAACCCTAACTTCACACCACAAAATCAGCCTGTTAGTTTTTTCTTCAGATTAGTGAATTAATGACTAAGTAGATGATAGCATATTTTACTTGCAGTATAAAGAAAGAAAGAAAAGATGAAAGGACAACTCTGTATATGGTTAATATTAGTTTTCTGCAGTCAGTAAAATAACAGGTGTAAAACTTGCCTTAAATTCAGGTAATGGTTTGACATTTCAACCATAGGCTTATTATTGATTAGTATATAGATGGTAAGTAAGACAATAACATATACCTTATTGTCCAAGAATATTTTAATGGGCTGCTAAATGTCATGTTTAATTGTTTAGATCATTTCAGAAAATCTCTCATTATATAAATGTCATATGAGTACAGATTTAGATGTTAAAATGTCAGTGTGAGTGTGAAATGGCATGGGGGACATGTTTGATCTTCTCTGGATATAGAAAAGAGGAGAAGAATCCAACTTAGCACTAGTTCAAGGTAGATAGCAACGAGATAGAAGTCAACAATGTCTCTATTTTCTATCCTTTATGCTCTTCTGACACCAGCCATCCCTTTCAAAGTAGAGGAGTTCCTTTTCTACTAGATTCAATAATTCACTGCATTGGCCTCACAGAATTCATAACCAGTACTCATTATTTGGGGGTTTATTAGGGAAACTATGCCAAAAGCAAAACTAAACTCACTGCTGTGCAGTTGATTATGATTCATAGCAGCCCTGTAGGAGAGGGTAGAACTGCTCATATGGGTTTCAAAAACTGCACATCTTTACCAGTGTAGAAAACCTCACTTTTCTTAGAGTAGGGGCCTATGGGGTCCAGCTGCAGACTTGAGGTTAGCAGCCTAACCAGGGCTCCTTCCAGGGAAGCTAAGAGGTTACAAAATGTCAAGCATACAGTTATTCTCTTCACAGCCATGGCCTCCTCTCAGCCATGCTGGCAGGCATGTCTCTCCTTTCTTGCTCTCCCAGCCACATGCTTCCTGCCTTGTGCTCTCTGTCCTGTACCTCTACTCTGCTTCATGGTAGTAACTGCTTCCTCAGCTCTGTCTTATGATGTTAGTGCTACAGGCTTGGGGGCCTCTGTTGCCTACACTGCTTAGTAAGGGATCTCACATGTGCTCTGCTGAGGACTCTTCTTTCACGATGGTCATGGGATTCTGTCTTTCCTAGATGGCTCACTTATATACCCAAAAGGAATATTGACCCATTCCCCCTATTAGGGTTTAACACACCATTTTTGCATGGTCCTGTTCAATCATTTGGTGAGAGTTACAAAGACATAGGTAGGAGAGACATACCATTTTATCATAGTGACATTAAGAGGTTTTCTTCTCTCATATATTTACTTTTCCTAGATTAAACTTTATAGTCCAGAAATCAAAAAAGATTTCTGGAATCTTCTAGTCCCTCCCCGATATCTAGCTGCTTCTGACATGTGTGCTTTAGTCTATTTGACCAAAATGTCCTTCACAACTGCACACCTTTGTTCTAACATGTAGTCCATACTTTTACCTCATGGAGAGTTCTGTTCATACAGTCACACCACAGACCAAGCTAAGAAAATTCCCAAGAGATGCTCATCTCTTTTTAAAAATACTTATACTTTATATTTGTACCTACCTGGTCTAAAGTCATTAAAATCTGAAAAACAACATGATTAATTAGGGCTCAAAGATTTCCAACTTATAGTTGTTTCCTACAGCACACACTGAACATGTTTGGTAATCATGGTGTTCAATTGTAGAGCCTATTCTGTTCTGTCAAAACGTTTATCGAAGACACTAACAACTGAGATTGCCTTGCCATTAAAATCTAGCAGAGGGAAGAATATGATAGCCATGGTGTCTTTAAAAGTAAGTGAATATTGTGTAGCTTTGAAAGAAAAGTGACCGACAGGTATGTGGGTGTGGAATCAAAAAAGTTTCTAGTGAACAACTAAATAACACCATACAGAGACAGATATACAAAACATGATCGATGTGCTCAGCGATCTACTAAAAGGTATTGTGAGATATAACTTCTTTTTAAAAATCTTCTTTCCACTACTTGTCCACCTATCATACTCTGGTAACTCCCGTGTGGCTGTAATTCTGGAAGTTATGTTTTAAACAACAGCAGAGTCACCCAATGTGACCAGATTTCAGTGGAGATTCCAGAATAAGAACAAATGAAGAAAAAGGAACCGAATTCGTCTCAAGGATTAGCCTCTGAAAATCATATGAATTATAGCAAAACACTGTCATATATATTGCCAGAACATAGCTTTTTAGGTCAGAAAAAACTCTGGGAAAAAAACTGCCACCTCCAGGTAATTTGACCATAGTGAAATGGATGGAATACAGCCACTAAGTGTAAAGCCTTAGGGACCTTCATTTGCTGATAGTGTAAAACTCAAATCAAGAGGAAACAGTTACCAAGT